ATAAAAGTAATGTATGGAAACTCATGAGATTGAATCCCTAGCAAAGAAAAGAATGAAATATTAGTAATATTAATTTTTCATAAAACCCTTCTGAGTGATGCCAGCCTGACAAAACAAAGAGTTGAAGAAACTGGTACTCCTGTGAAATAGCCCAGGACTTGGAGTTGATTCACTAGTGCCTTTCAAATATTTTAGCCTACAATCTGCAGTGTAACCAACAGCAGTGTTCACAAATATACCATGTTCTCCCCTACATCTCTCAGCCTCCCTGGCAATTAAGTTGGAGGCACATGTGTATTCTGGTCAGTGGCCCATGGGGGAAAGTGTGTTCTCTCAAAGTCTTCTGTGCTTTTTTTAAAAAATGTATTTAGTACAGGGTCTCACTACACAGATCAGACTGATAGTGATCCTCATGTTTTCAGCCTCCCAGGCACTAGGATTATAGGCATGCGCCACCACACCCAGTCCCAGTTGCCAAGCGTGGCCCAGGGGTGAGGCCAGCAAGGCACGCAGGGGATTGAACCTCTGGTACCTGCATCTGCCAAAGTAGGTGCTTTAATCCACTGAGCTATCCAGCTGGCCTTTTTTGTGCTTTTTTGAGAAAGATTTTAAGCTAGAAGCAAAGAACATTGGGATGTAGCAGTAGGAGGATGGTAGCATGCTATATCCTTGAAGGTCTGGAGGGCAACCACAAAAGACAGCGAGCAGACTTTATGAGACTTCATGTAACTGACAGACAAAATATTTAAAAAATTTAAATTAATACCTATTCAGCTAGCCATGATAGCACATACCTATAATCCCAGCAATGAGGAAGCTGAGGCAGGAGGACCGCCATGTTCAAAAAACAAAGCCAGTCTAAGCTATATATAAGACCCACTCTTAAAAAAAAAAAAAAGACAAGGGCTGAGGAGATAGCTCAGCCACATAAGCATCTGCCTGGCAAATGCAGGGTCCCAAGTTTGATCCCCAGTACAGGAAAAAAAAAATACATATTCTCCACACTTAATGTTTACATTCATTACATAATGAGAGTGCTACTCTGCCATAAAGAAGGATAAATTTAAGTTATTTGTAGGAAGATGGATGTACCTTGAGACTATAATGTTAAGTGAAACACATCAGATACACAAGCTTAAATATCATTCAACATCTCTTCCATGAGAAATACAAAGTGCAAATGATTTCAAAAACCAGAATAACAAATTGACAATTAAAAAAAAAAAAAAGACTGACAGTAGAAAACAGGGAGATAGCTGTAAATGGGAAGGGAAAATAGAGAGTAGGTAGGAGGGTGTGAGGAAGAGAAGAGGAATAAAAACATGACACATCAAGTACATGTACTCCTGTGTCAACCTAGTAAGCATGAAGTTGGACATTAGTGGGCCTAAGAGGTTGAGAGACAAGGACAGTGGGAGTCCAAAGCAGCATTCTGTTCCAGTTATAGTTAAATGAAGAAACAAAGACCTAATCATGTCTTAGGTTTCAGGCCCAGATGGTGACCACAGCACACAGTACCATTTTAAGTTTATGTACTGTACATTTTCACTCTGTTACCAGGCCTTCTAGTTCCAAAACAAGTCAGACAGCATTCCTGGTTGCCACAGCCTCTCCCCAGTGGTATCCAACAGGAGAACATTCTCTAAGAATCTTCTCTTGATGGATTAAGATCTGATTTAGTTATAATTGATCTACTGCTGATGTCTTTCATAAGATTTTTAAAAAATATGATTAAGGCCCCTAAGGGAACACTGACCACCTGAAAAAGAAAAGGAAAACATTTTTGTGTGTCCCTTTGTTTTGTGTTCTTTTTTTTTTTTTTTTTTTGAAAGAGTTTCAATATGTGGTTCAGGCTGGCCTTGGACTCATTTTGTAGCCCAGGCTGATATCAAATGTGCTGCAACCCTCCTGCCTTAGCTTCCCAAGTGCTGGGATTAGAAGTGTGCACCACCACACCTGGTTTAAGGAAAACATTTTTGAGTTATCAACATTCCAGGGCCAGGTAGATGGCTCAGTAGAATAAGTGCTTCCCTGGCAAGTGCAAGGGCCTGAGTTCAATCCTTGGTTCTAAAAAAAAAAAAAAAATTCCAAAGTAACTTTATAAAAAAAATGCCCACAAGGATCACAATCAACAAAGTTCCCTGAAGCCCAGGAGAGACTCTGTGTGCTACACTTAGGTGCACATACCTTCTTGCCTGAAGGCATAAATGTCTATATTTGCTCATAGTAAGTTCTACGTATACTTCTGCATGATTTTATATATATATATATATTTTTTTTTTTTTTTTTTGATACAGAGTTTCATTATGCAGTTCAGGCTGGCCTTAAATTCACTTTATGGCCCAAGCTGAATTATAGGTGTGTGCCACCATGACTGGCTGCCTATATATCCTGACTGAAGTCTTTCATCAAAGTTACAAAGATCCAAGGAATGATGGACTGGCTCCTTACTACATTAGAATCTGGCTTCCCTGTGACAAAGCTACCAATATTGGAGGTGAGAGTGAGTATATGTTACCACAATTCAGCCTAGTCTAGCTCATCCAGATTAATACACATAGTAATAAATGCATTTCACATCTTGACTAAGTGCATGTATATACAGCTGAATCAAATTTTAAAATATGCTAGCCAGCCATGGTGGTCCATGCCTGTAGTCCCAGCACATGGGAGATTGAGCTAGGTGGATCGCTGGAAGTTCAAGGCCAGCCTAAATTACATAGTGAGAGACCCTGTTTCAAAACACCAACCAAACAAATAAAATACATATAGATATGGCTGTGCATATATTCTTGTTGGTATTGCTTTTTTTCCTGTATTTTAGGGAAGGGTCTACAGGGTGTTCAGGGTCTCAGTACTAGATTGGACTCGTAGTGATCTGCCTGCTTACAGCCTCCCAAGTGTTGGGATTACAGGCATGTGCCACTACCTCCAGTCTCAATCCTCACCTCAGCAGGCCTCAGGGGCAAGGCTGGCATGGCAGACCTGGGGTATGGAACACCCCATCCCCCTGCACTCTGCACTTGCTTGCAGGCACTTTAATCCCCTGAGCTATTTGGCCGGCCCTGGTATTTCTATTTTATTTTTATTTTTATTTTTTGGCAGAACCAGGGATTGAACTCAGGCCCTTGCGCTTGCCAGGGAAGCGCTTATTCCGCTGAGCCATCTACCGGGCCTGGTATTTCTGATATACCTAGTATTTTCTATTTCACTTAGGAAAATTGTTATCACACTCAATTTTACTGCACCCTAATTGGTCTCCACCCACAAGGAAAAAACTTTTTAAATTCCCTCAGAACTCGGATCATCCATGAACAACCTCCAGGTATATCCAATCACTTAGAAAACAGCTTTAAAGGCAATGTTACAATAATACAAATGGTAAATACAGGAACGTGATCTTGTAAACAGCTTTTTTTTTTCAGTGCTTCAGACTGGGAAATACATGTGTGTATATGTTTTTAGATATCCTGCAACATTAGTAGTTCCGTGACATTAAAATACAGCCACACTTCTTCACTGTAAGACACCTGTATCCCAGCACTATTGAGAGGCCGAGTGAAGTGGATCACAAGTTCCAGCCCAGCCTGGGCAATTTAGTGACTTTGCAAGACACTCTTTCAAAGGTAAAAATAAAAAATCATATAAAATGGGCTGGGGGATTTCGCTTCATAGGTTAGGACCTGAGTTCAGTCCCCGGTACTGGACAGCGAGGGTGGGGACTGGAGAACCAATGCATTGTGAAGTCCAAATCATCAATTATTTCTTTCCAATTGCAAGAATAGGTGAAGCCACAAGCTGTCACACTTTCTTATAGTGCTAAAATGCTGGACAACAGGATGCCAAGACCCCAAATTGGGCCACCTTCTATTTTTTTACACTGGATTAAGGACAATTTTTTGTTTTTATGTACAGAAAACTCAAGAGTACACTTAGCCCAGTTTAGTGGCAAGCTCTTTAGCCTTTGCTTTCTCCAGCTTGGCAATACGAGCCACAGATTTTGGACCCAGAACGTTGCCTCCCCAGTGATGGCAGATCTCATCGTATCTGTCATTGTAGTTGGTCCAGATGGCCTCCACCAGCTTAGCCAGCGCACCTTTGTCTTAAGAGTTGACTTGTGTGAAGGCGACAGTGGTATAGGTCTTCCTGTGGACCAGACGCCCCAGCCTGGCCTTCCCCTTGATGATGCAGTAAGGGACCCCCATCTAGTTACACAGGGCAGGCAGGAACACGACCAGCTCGATGGGGTCCACGTCATGTACAATCACCACGAGCTGAGCCTTCTTGTTCTCTACCAGAATGGTGACGGTGTTGACACCTGCTCTGAGGACCGGTGGCCTCTTAGTGGGGACATCCCCTTCGCCAGCAGCTTTCTTCTCTGCCCGGGCCAACAGCCTCTGCCTCTTCTCTTGCTTGGCCTCTGTTCTGTACTTGTGGGGGAGCTTAAGCAGCTGGGTAGCTGTTTGGCGGTCGAAGGGCTGGGTGAACTGGTTAATCGCAGGGGGCACCCTCAGCCGCTTGTACAGGATGGCCCTCTGTCGCTGCAGCCGGAGGTACCGGGGCCATTTGACAAAGCGGGTGAGGTCTCTATTGGGCTGGATGTCCTGTCCAATACCAAAATTCTCTGGCCTCTTCTCAAACAGATTTACCACCTTCTTGGCCTCCTGCTTCTTTACGACAGCATGGGCTGGGGCCACTTTCTTGCCCTTGGCCTTCTTCCCTTTCAGTATCTCGGCCGGCTGACAGAAAGCGAGCCACTTCTTAATACAGTGGCTCCAGCCGTTAAGACCAAAGATGAAGCAGGGACAGGCCGGAAGCGGTCGCGGGAGCCCTCCCTCGGCGAGAGCCTTCCTGAGCACCACTTCCGGTGTCCTACTTTAACATTCCCACCACCAAACCATAAGCTTGCGACTTTCCGTGGCACTACAGGGCGAGCCGGAACTTTTGTGTGTAGGAACGGGTTTTACACAGTCGCATGTTGCCAGCCGGCGTCAAGGAGACCAGGGTGCACCGTCTTCCTCTCGCCGTCGCCGCCGCAGAGCACAGCTTAGCTGGTCAGATCGAGGAGCGCGGTCACCCGACGCCTGGGTCTATGGTCGCTCCGCGGCCCGCTCCGCCGGCTGGTGCTGTTTTATTAGGGCGCACAGTGCTCCATGGCAGGGAACTTCTGGCAGAGCTCCCACTAGTGAGTGATCTTCCGTCCTCTCGGCGGGGCCGGTTCCCAGGGGGCGGCGGACAGGGCCTGCTGACTCGCCTGGGCCTGGATCCCTGCTCCGGTCCGAGCGACCTCGGGCAGCCGCAGGACCGGAAATGAAATGGGCTTTTTTTTTTTTTGAGGCGACTCCTATGTCCATCCGAGCGCGGTTTGGGGGAGGGGTGGTCGCGAAGGTGAAGAGGCGGTGGGTGAAGGCTGGGGTGTTTGATTCCGGGTGTTGGCTTAGCTGGGCCGGGGGCTGCGGGTGGGGGCGAGCGAGCACGCGGCGAGTAGGTAGCCCGTGATCGCCCGTTCGGGACAGCGTGGCTTGCTTTTGCTGGGACTTCGTTGGGGGAACAGCATTGTGTTCTTTTGTCGTTCACCTTTTGTCGTGAGTGGGGTAAATATTCTGAGGAGAGGAGGGAGGGAATTAGTGCGTGTTAGCCGCTTCCGGCCGCTGCTTTATGCCTGGTTGAAGTTGCGTGTTGATAAGGAGTAAGGCACGTGCGCTCAGAATTACTCATTTTATTAGCTCTTGAATTTTTTTTCCAACTGTTTTCTAGTGATTTTGTTTGTTCCTTCAACCTGTCTTATGAATGAGTTTCTGTTTGTCAGTGACTGAGGAAGAGATAGTGTTAATATAAAGAACATCTCTACATTTGCATGGGGAAGGTGTGGTGTGATGGGTTTAAACACTGAGTAGGCTTTTTGTTGTATGGTTTTGGGGAGTTTGTTTTCTTTTGTTTACCCTAGATCGAACTCGACCTTGCGCTTGCCAGGCAGGTGCTTATGCCGCTGAGCTACCATCTCCTCCTCTACTGTGTAGTTGAAGGATAAACAGAATTTGATGGCTGTGTATGATTCGTACACCTGTAATCCCAGCGCTTGGGAGGCTGAGGCAGGAGGATACCATAAAGTGAGCTTGCCTGAACTGCTTAGTGAAACCCTGTCTCAAAAAGACAGGGTGGGGTAAGAACTTAGTGAAGGTAGTTTTAGTGTAAAATTTTAATGCTAAGAGCATTTAATATCATTTAAATTTTTATTGTGATTTTTTTTTCCTGTCTTTTTCATGAAGAGGAAAAGAAACAACACACTTGGAGACCAATTTTTCAAAAGGCATGTTTTTCACTTGATATAAAGTGATTCTGTGGAGATAAGTGCTATAAATGCTTTATTACTGATTATATCATCTTTTATTTTGCTTGTTACAAAAACATTGTCTTGGGCAGAGTTAAAACAAAAATTTAAGTAGTGGAAAAATTGATAAACTTTAAAAGAAACTGAGACAACTGACAGCCAGCCAGTTGTCTTTTTTTTTTTAACCTTAAAAAAAGATTTTTTTTTTTTTTAAATGTACTTGGTTGTTACAGGGACTCACTACCCAGCTTGGACTCATAGTGATCCTTGTTTTCTGCCTCCCCAGCACTGGGATTACAGATATGTGCTCCTGTGCCAGGACTCTGTGGCTGGTTCACTGCACATTGGGGGCGGGGCCGGCGGGCTTGGGCCAGACAGAGATCGAACCCCAGTCCCTGTGCTTTTTATTTATTTATTTATTTATTTATTTGGTGGGGGTCCTTCTGTGTAATTTAGACTTGCCTTGAACTCACCACGTAGCCCGGGTTGGCCTCAAGCAAATCCTTCCACCTCAGCCTCAACTGTAATTCATACTTTTGAGATGCACATGTTCTTACACTAGGGACATGGTAGTTTTTCCGCAGTGGCACATGAAAATAATGGTGAATCTTACAGGTAGTATTAACATTGCTGGGGTTGGGTAGATAGCTTAGCAGCATAAGTGCCTGCCTGGCAAGCACAGAGTCCTAAGTTTAATCCTCAGTACCAAAATAATAATAATAATGATAATGCTAAATTTGTAAATCTTGGGTTTTTTTCCTCCATACAAAATACTGTGAGGGTGCAAGGTCCAGAGTTTGATCCCGGGTACTGCGAAGAAACCTCAGAACAAGAACAACAAGGGGCCAGGGAGATGGCTCAGTGGAATAAGTGCTTCCCTGGCAAGCGCAAGGGCCAGAGTTCAATCCCCAGTTGGGGGGGGGGGGGAAGAAAAGAACAACAAAAAAATACTATGAGAAAAACGTAAAACATTTGTGAAATTTATCCTTAAAAAATAAAATAACTGTGGATATAAAACTATTGAGCAAAATCATAGTACTTTCAATTTTAGAAAATTTAAATAGAACAGAAATACATCCTCTGACTAAAATGCAGTAAAACTAGAAGGGCACTAAGTATTTTGTACTTGATTGGTAAATTAATGAACAGGTAACAAAAATGAAAACCTCTTACAAAAACTTAACAGTGTACAGAGAAATTGTATTTGGCTCATCAAGGCCTGGGGAAATGTTTGACCTCATAAGTAAACTTCAGAGGAAAAAACAGTGATACCTTCTTTGCCTTTAAGTTTTAAAGTATTTGAAAGACTGAGTGTAACCTTAAATATGATAAGACACAAATCACTGTTAACTAGGAATGAAACTGAGGTGACCTTTTGGAGGGCAAACTGACAGATTACATTAAAATTGTACCAAAGTAGATCTATCAGTTCTGCTTTTAAGAAATTATTGAAAATAAATTATTATTTAACATGACTGGAATTTGTGAACAAATTCCTCTTAATCATGAACAATTGGGAATATCCTTCATCAGTCTAAGCCACCATCAATTGATGTTAAGTAATTTCACAGTAATCACAAAGTGATAATTTATGTATCACAATAAATTAAATAAGAGCCGGCTAAAAAGTTCAGTGGATTAAAGCACCTGCTTGGGCAGATACAGAGGCCTGGGTTCGATCCTGGCCTGCCATGCCAACCATGCCCCCGGAGCACATTGAGAGGGCATTTGAGACTGGATATGGTAGCAGGTGCCTGTAACCCCAGCTCTTGGGAGGCTGAAAACAGGAGAATTACTACGAGTCTGATCCGATCTACGTAGTGAGATCCTGTAGGCCCTTACTAAAATTAAAAACAAATAAGTATGCTGTTAAGATGATAAAACATTGGGGTTTTTTGTTGTTGTTGTTTTTCCTGCCAATAAATACTTTAATGAGAATCAAGGTCTATGACATGCATTCAAGTAACTATCCCAGTTTGGGGCCAACCAACTACATTTAACCCACATTTGGAAAGTAAACCATTTTAAATGTTACCTATCAGTGCACATCTTCACAGAAGATACCAATCTGGCACCATAAATGCATTATTAACACTTCCTCTTGGGGAAAGGTTAATATGGTAACCCAAATGCATGAGCAAAGCTAAACCATCCTATTGTTTTTCTGTCAGGAGGACCTGGGGAGACCATTGATTCAGCAAACACAACTTTGTCAAAGTTCATTAGAACACCAAAATAGAGTAAAGAAAAACTGTACAAAGATTGGTTGAGCTGGGCTTGCCTATATCCAGTTCTTAGATTTGAAGCCTTTCCAAACTACTTGTATGTAATTTAAAAAATTATGTTTCAGAGTCTAGGTCAAAGCCAATTTGCCAAAACCCTCAGTAGAGTGCAAAAAAGCTCTCATGTTTCCATATCTTTAAAATACCCATGTAGAGGTCCACATGCCTCATAATTGCTCTCTGGTTCATCATGCGAGTTCATATCACATCACTGGATTGGACACCAGAGCTCTGGCTAAGCCATATGTAAAGCTAGAAACAGTAATTCCAAATTGTGTTACCTGTCATTCACAACAGTATTAGGTGCTTCTTGGTAATATTACAGACTGGTAGCTGTGTTCCTACAACAGTAAGACCATACCTTTCCACAGACTCCTGATGTCCTCTTATTGGTATGTACCAGGGAAGCTGCTAATCATACTGTCTTGGAACAATCTACCTTGAGCCTGTATTCAGATGTTTAGAAGATCAGTGGGATTGGCTATAGTGGAAGATACTGCTCCTGATCATACCCTACAAATCATATTATTAAAAGAATTTTATTGAAAGTCTCCCCAGGTATTCCTAACCATCCAACGGTCCTAGGCCTTCTAACATTCTACAAATAATCACTTCAGGCTATAGTAAATCTCATTTTAAGGGTACTATATGATGTCTGTCTTAGTAAAGCAGAAGCAATACCTGAATATAGAGCCAGCCCACCTTCTTTATAGATTTGGAAGGCTTGAAACATTCTTCTATTTTATCTATTTGAAACAAACATCAGTACTTTGGTCTTGTACTTGAAGTGGTGTTTTGTTGAGTTCCACAGGGCAAGTTCCACACTCAGCAACAGGAGCCAAGCATGGTAGCACATACCTACAATCCCAGCTTTTGGGAGGCTGAGCCAGTACAATTGCTGTGAGTTTAAGACCAACCTGAGCTACACAGTGAGTTCACAGCAAACCTAAACTACCTAGTGAGACCCTGTACTTCCCCACAAAAAATGAGTGTACAAACTCAGCAATAGTAAGAGAGGCAAGGCCTAGCTAGGTGTTGTGGAACATACTTGGGAGGCTAAGACAGAAGGATTGCTGAGTTCAAGGGCAGCTTGGGCTACAAAGTGAATTCAAGCCCAATTTGAACTACATAGTGAAACCCTGTCTCAAAAAGAAAACAAAAATTAAGGCCAGGCTGCCATGTACAAAAGATTTCCAATTCAAAGCAAACATCTCATGCCTCACAGTGTTACTTTTCTGGTGTTGTTTGGGCTCTTCAGATGTCAAATCTTGCTAATTTTAAGATGAATCTTGATATTAGAGTGTTAGAATCAGTCCAGTATAATACAATAGAAAGAGACTAGAAAGAAGGAAACAACTAGAGGATAATTTTTTTCAGGGCATATTCATGTTTGTTAGTGAGATAATTGTTATTAATTGCTTTTTCAGAAATATCAGAAATAATTATCTTTAAGGTTACTTTACACTTTGTGCTTTTCAGAACATGAACAACCTGCTTAGTCTGAGTGTTTGCTGTGACTTTCCCAATTGATTTTCCTACCAAGTACATCTTAACATCTTTACTTCTAGTTTGCAGTGGATTTTGGATAAACAAGACCTGTTGAAAGAGCGTCAAAAGGATTTAAAGTTTCTCTCAGAAGAAGAGTATTGGAAATTACAGATATTTTTTACAAATGGTAAGCTGTTTTAATTTGTTAAAGTGGTATAGTTGGTTACTTTTGAATAAGAATAATTTTCTATGATAAGTTTTGATGAACTGTTAGAGTCTATACTTAACATTTTTCTTATTTTAAAAGTGAAAAAACCAAAATTTTAAAGCAAGGTAATAGGATAACAGTGTTTGAAACATTATATATTGTTGTCTTTAAATTAGTACAAAATATGACATTTAACTGTCCAAACAATATTAGAACAATTCTTTCTTTTCAGTGAACTAAGAGAAATTAGTAGTATAACCATCTTAACTAGCATATATATTAGCCTTTTTTTTTTTTTTTCCTTTTCCTGGTACTGGGGATTGAACTCAGGACCACGTGCTTGCCAGGCAGATACCTATGCCACTGAGCTATCTCCCCAGCATATGTATATATAAAGTTTCTTTCCATTTTATAATATCTATTGTATGTTTTGGATATTTTTTACTCTTTCAGCTTCTCAACACTAGGGAGACAGTAAGCTGTTTACACATGCGTGTCTGATTTATTTCACTTATGAGTATGGTCTCAAATTGCATCCATGTATCTGTAAAAGTCTCCAGTTTTATCTTTCTTAATGGCTGAGTAGTATTCCATTGTATAAAAAGACCACATCCTTTTTATTCATTCTTCAGTTGGTGGGCATTTGGGTGGTTTCTAAGATCTGGCTGTGATAAATTGTGCTGCTATAAACATAGGTGCACATACATCACTGTGATATGTCTTTCATTCTTCTGGGAAAATACCTAGCAGAGGAATAGCTGTATCAAATAGGAGCTCTAATCAGTCTCTTGAGGAATCTTCACTAATTTCCACAGTAGTTGTACCAGTCTACATTCCCAACAGGAGAAAAGGGTTCCTTTTTCCCCACAGTCCTCCTGTATTTGTTACTCATTGATTTCTTGATTTCTTTCTGGAGTGAGATGGAATCTCAGTGTCGTTTTAATTTCCATTTCTTGAATGGCAGTGATGTTGAACTTTTTTTTTTGTTTGTATTTCTTCATCTGAGAAGTGTGTATTCATTTCCTGCCCATTTTTTGATTCAGTCTTTTATTTTTTTATTTTTTATTTTTTTTGTGTATGTGTGTGTGTGGAACTGGGGATTGAACTCAGGCCCTTGCGCTTGCCAGGGAAGCACTTATTCTACTGAGTTATCTCCACGGTCTCTAAATTTTGAAGGTATGAGGTTTTTAGTTCTTTGTATGTTCTCAGTAGTAATCCTTTGTTGAAGAACATCTGGCAAACATTTTTTCCCACACTGTGGATTATCTCTTCATTTTGTTGGTGTTTTTTCTTGCTATACAAAAGCTATTTAATAAGGTGAGATCCTAGTTGTTGATTCTCTGTGATAGTTACTATGCAGTTTTTTGTTGTTATTGTTGTTGTTGGTGTTTTGTTCTTGGTTTTTTTTTGGGGGGGGCATATTTATTCATACCCCAACGTCTTCAAAAATGTTACCTATTCTGTCTTCCAGAAAATTTTAATGTTTTCTGTTTTACTACTTAGATCTTTGATCAATTTTGAATTTAGCTTACTGCATGAAAAATATAGGTCCAATTTTAATCTTTAGGATGTATAGAGCCAGTCTTTCCAGCACCATTTATTAAAGAAGCTAACTTCCAGTGAATGTGTTTGGCACCAATCAATGATAAGGTGGCTGAGTATGTCTGGAGTTGTTTCTGCATCTTCTAATCTGTTCCACTGATCTTCAGGCCTGTAATTTGTTTTGTTGTATTGCAAGTACCATGCTGTTTGTTTCATAGTAGCTTTTTAGTATAATTTCAAGTCAAGGATTGCAATGCCCACTTCCTTGCCTTTCATGCCCAGAATTGCCTTTGCTGTTCTAGGTCACTTCTAAATTCCAAATGAATTTTAGGATTTTTTTTTTTTCCTAATTCTGTGAAATATGCTATTAGAATTTTGACCAAAGTTGTATTGAATCTGTGTTAATAGTTTTGGAAGAATGGCTATTTTTACTATATTAGTTCTTCCTACCCAAGAGCAAGGGATTAAAAAAAAAAAAAAAAAAGAGCAAGGTATAGCTTTCCATTTTCTGTTATCTTCAGTCTCCTTTTTCTCAACACTAGATCTCAATATAGAGGTCTTTTACATCCTTCATTAGATTGATTCCTAGGTATTCCATTTTTTTGGATGCTATTGTGAAAGATGCTGTTTCTCTAACTTCAGTGAGTTTGTTATTTATGTATATAGGAAGGCTATTACTGATTTTCAGGTGTTGACTGTATCTTGCTATGCTACAAAATTTGCTCATTAAATCTAGCAGGTTTTTAGTGGAGTTTTTGGGGTCTTCTATGTACAGTATCATGTTATTGACAAATAATCATAATTTAACTTCTTCCTTGTTATTCCTTTTCTTTCTCTTGTCTACTTCTCTCTGGCTAAAATTTCCAGGACTGTGTTGAATAAGAGTAGAGACAGTGAACATCTTGTCCCGTTCCTGATTTTAGAGTGAAAGCTCTCCATTTTTGTTCATTTAGTATGATGTTGATTGTTGGTAATAGATGGCTTTTATGAAATTGAGGTAGAAACCATCTACTTCATTTTTCTGTAGGGTTTTTATCATGAATGTGTGCCAGACTTTGTCAAATCCTTTTTCTGCATCTATTGAGATGATCGTGTGGTTTTTGTCCTTGGTTCTGTTAATATGTTGTATTACATTTATTGATTTGCATACATTGAACCATCCCTACATCCCTGAGGTAAATCCCACTTGATCATGGTGCATCATCTTGATGATTTCCAGTATTCTGTTTGCCAGTATCTTATTAAGGATTTTTACATCATTGTTTGTTAGAGAGATTGGCTTGTAGTTCTCTTTTTTGCTTTGCTCTTTCTCTCATTTTGGTATCAAGGTAATGCTTGCTTTCAGGAATGAATTTGGGAATGTTGCTTCCCTTTCAATTTCATTAAAAAGTTTTGAGAAGTAGTAGGGTTAGCTGTTCTCTAAATTTCTTACAGAATTGACCAGTAAATCTATCAAGGCCTGGGCTTTTCTTTGTTGGTAGGTTTTTAATTATGTCTTCAATTTCATTGAATGGTGGTTTATTTAGGAATTTTGTGTCTTTTTGATTGAGCTTTGGTAATTCATATGTGTCTAGGAATCTGTCCATTTCTTACACATTTCCCTTTTACTAGAATAGAAGTTTTTAAAGTAGGTATAGGTGAGCTTATGGATTTCTGCAGGGTCCGTTGTTTGTGATTTTACTCTTTTCATTTCTAATTGTTTAGATTTGCATATTTTCCTTCCTTGTTTTGAGAAAATTGGCTATGTGTCTTGTCAATTTTAGTCTTGCTTTATTTTATTTTGAATAGTAACAACAAATAGAAACAAAGAAATAGGACAACATATAGCAGTACATATGCTGCAGATTTTCAAAATGAGAATAGCTAATTAGCAATTTTTTATCAGATCTGTTGCTCACTTTAATAGAAATAGTTTTGCAAGATTGGGCAAATATTAGTGCTTGCTTTGAAGAAATCTTTAACTTTTTCAATTTTCTCATCTTTATTTTTTTTTAAATATTTTAAAGAGTAAAAACAAAAAGTAAATATTTCAGTAATTTCCTCTTTACATGTGACTAATTCACTCTTTCTTTATCCACGGAGGATTTTTTCCCCTAATATAAAGTCTTCATTTTCTGCAGTTCTATTAGTTC